ATGCGGGGACCTGGCGGGACAGGGGTGGCCCTGGGAAATTGCACATGGAGCCGGTGCCAGGCGAGCACTGAGCATCCCAACGGAGCCTCAGCCCCGCAGCCATCCTGGCAGCCTGGGGTCCTGAGACCCCCTCTGAGACTCCCACCGGGCCCCCCTCATCCGCAGGGGAGGTGGGAGGAGGAGCAGAGCCGAAACGGCCTCCTCCAGTCCCTGACATTTAAGGCACATGCTCTGCCTCTGTTTTGTGGTTAAACGTGGCTGGGTGAAAACGCCTTCCCTGGCTTGGCAACGTGCTGCTCACAGTCATCTCGATACAGCAAGCAGGGGACGGCGGCGGGGAACCACGCCGAGACAGTGATGTGGGACAGGCTGCTAGACCAGGGGGAAGCGTGGCTGGCAGCGAGCACGCTGGAGAGGTCCTACAGCCTCCGCTCGAAGGCACTGAGAGATGCCAAGCACGGTGCTGAGGACAAGACAGGGCTGCGAGAGACGCCCGGGACCAGAAACGCTGCGGAGGAGGGGAGGAGCTGATGACCCACCATGCAAGGTAGGGACAAGTGCTTGCTTCTGCCATGCTGCTTCTTGCCAGCCTGTTAGCCCTGCCCCAGGGCTAGCTTGGTTTTCTTCCTCCTTGAGAGCAGCAGGAAGGTGCTGCAACTGGGAGCATCCTTTGCTCCTGGGAATCCCCGTGGCAGGAACGGGGTGGTCGGCTCCCAGGTCCGGTTCCCCAGGGATGCAGCCGACAGCGCTCGTCCCCTCTGTCCCTGTGGCGAATGCGCTCGCTGGCCTTTCCTCCCACTGCCCCGAGAGCCATCGGCCCGTGGCATGAGTCACCAGGGCCACATCCCGCGGCGAGAGGCGGCTGGGGCAGCCGGGGCAGGGGGGGAGGGAGAGGGAGCTTACAGCAGGCAAATGCCGGCGGGGATGGAGCGCGCTGCTGCGGGCATGAGGTATGGCATGCAAACGCACACAGGGACCTCTGAGTTGAACCGTCCTGAGCTTTTTTCGATCACTCTCAAAGCAGGCAGTCCTCACCCCATGCTGACGGCAGCACATCTTGTCCTTTCCTCGGCAGCCTTCAGTGCGTGTTGGGCGCAGGTCCTCACACGGGCTCACCCCAGGATGTGCCCAACTGCAACGTGGCAGCGCAGCCATGTCCTACCGCCACCTGCATCCAGAGGCGGGAACGGGATGAATTCCACCCACCACAGCTGTATCCGACCTGGAGGACATGGGCATTGTGCAGCTTGGTGCTCTGGCTGCTTGTGGGACAAGGCAAGAGCGACAGAGATGGTCGTCGCCCCGTGGAGCTGGCCCTGCGTCCTGGCCCTTCTGCTGCTCGGACCTGCTGGGTGCATCTGCGCTGGCGTGAGGAGGAGGTGTTGGGGAGTGGATGGGGGTCTGGCAGGTGCCCTCTGCCCACCCCCATGTCCTGGGCTGCCCTCTGCCCCCTTCCCCGGGCCTGGCAAAGGGCACGGTGGTGCCGGGAGCTCAGGAGAAGGGGGAGCCGGAGCTGCCCCCTGGGGACTGCAGGGCTGGTGCTGGGCTCGGGAGGGGATCCCACTGCCAGCTGAGCCTCGAGCTGTGGCACCCTCCCATGCTGTCCGGGTTTGAGTGACACAGGACTGATTTGTCTTCTGATGCTTGGGAAGACTGCACTTTTGGAAGACTCTGGTGTTGGGATTGGTGAAAAGATTTCCGTTATAGCCAGCTATGGTGTGTGGGTTTCAAGGTCTCAGTGTTTTTGAGCTCGCCCGGTGCGGGGCTGAGGAGGAGCGAGATCTGAGCACTTGACCCAAGTTGCCAACAGGATACCATCAACGTCGCATTCACTATAAATTAGGAAGTTTGCTGTGAAGTTGTCTCTCACCCTTGATGGTTGCCCTCCTGAGAACTTTGTGCCCCGGTGCCAGAGCCCTGAGCCCTTCCCTTCCTCCTGAAGCCGCAGCGCTCACAGTGTCCCACATTTTGCTGTCCCCTGCTGGGGGTGCACCGCTTCCTATGGATAGAAGGGGCTGAGTGTTATCTTTGCATATTCTGTATCGGTATCGGGATCAATGTTGGTTCTTTAGTGCTATTAGTGTTAATTATGTAATCTTACTCTATTAAATCTGTTTATACTTTAGCTCCCGGGTTTCCTTGTTTTTTCCCGATTCCCTTCCCTGAGTGGGGAGGGGACATCAGGTGATAGAGTGATTGTCTAAATGACAATAAATTGGTACGGGTTTCTCAAACCATAACACGTGATGATCCCTGAAGGGGAAATTCAGATTGTAACTGCTCAGCAGTGGGAATCTGTGACCGAGGAAGGAGGTGACGTGGAGGGCAGGATGTCCCAGGTGCAGCAGGGGTTGAGCTGGCTGGCAGCAGGGATGCCCGATCCAGCGGGACTCCCTGCAAGGGAGTGGGGTTTGCCTCGGGGATGAGAGCAGGAACAGCCCCAGCATCGCTCTGCAGCCGTCTGGGGGTGGGAGCGCTCAGGAGGCACCTTTGGGCAGCAGAGCTGGGCTGGGGGATGGACATGACACCGCTGCGGGATGGGTGCTGGGGCAAGTGGATGGAAGGGATCTGCTGGTGACACATCGCTGCGGACTCCTCAAAGAACCGCCGATGGCAGCTGGACCCTGCCCAACACCGGGTTCGTTTGTCTCCTTTTCTATCGAAGCACGTAAGTGTGTTCAATTTGCCCCAAGGGGTAACATAAAACTTCCCCCATGTTCCCCGTGAAGCTGCAGCCCCTTCAGGGGTCGTCCCCATCCCCCAAGGCACAGGCGGCACCCGCAGCGCCCGTAGCACCCGTTGCCATGGCC